AACGCACAAATGATGCACCGGCGTATATAAAAGCGCTCGTATGTGCCTATGTATAATTAAAATTAAGGCTACTTGACTTTTTCAATGACTTCCAGTGTAATAATAAATCAGTGGCGGCAAGGGGGTTCCGACCAGGTAAACACGGTGCAGCCGGCCAATAGCATGCAACGGATGATGGGGAGTCGAGGGCTTCGAGAAGGGGCATGCTACGAAATCAGCGACCGAAAAGCTTTCGACTGCGATTCCGATACCATCCAACGCTCGGTGTTTACAATGTGGAAAAGATCTTGTGGCACGGCGAGCATAGAGTATAAAGAAATCGCGACACACAGACACAGATTCATGTTGGGTTTATAAATACGTTCGGATCTATATGGTGTATGAAGTATGTACGTGCCAAAAGCGCCAAACGGCGGAGCAAAAGAAGAAAACACGAAAAAACGAAACACGAATTATGCGATTCAAGTACGAATTCACATGAGCAAATTGCAGATAGATCTTCTGGTACCGGTGTATGAATCGCCGACTTAAATTTAAGCCCTCCTACTCAGGAACGTAAACCTAGAGAATCCACTTAAATCCACAGCGGACAAGGGCAATTAGCAGTATCGCTTTCTTAAATGCCACTTCTGGTTGCTGAAACGACGATTATTATTTAATATACATAGGTGATCGGACAACTAGACGCGCGTTCTGATATAATGCCAATTACAAAATCATTACGCTTGGCTCGTTGTGAGGCAATGCTTAACCTATGGCAATGAGACGGCCGGCAATTAAGAGGGGAAAAAACATATAAAGATGCATAATTAAAATAATAATATTTAGCACTCGTACGCACCATATGACCGCCTCGCCGAAAGAAGACAGAAGCCGTAAAAAGCGCCACTAAAAAATAAATAAAGTACAATTTTCGTACTTCAGACGGACGTGCACTAAAAAGCCAACTACCCAACTGCAAGTTTTGTCCATGCAGCACATGCGACTAAACAAAGGCAGCCCACTGAGCATGATATGGGAATTGGAGGGCGGGTGGTGGTCGGTTGGTGTTACGATAAGGTCTCTCGAGTGGTGACCTCACACGATGTGGACCAACGAACGGGCCACAGATCTTGCACATCCCGTAGATAGTTACACAGAAACAAAGACACATGTGGCATGTAATTGGCAGCCCGAATAGAGAAACTACTGGGCCCAGCTCAGATCTCAAGGGCAGAGATTTCACCTTTGATTTAGATATGATATGGATATAGATACAGATACAGGTACAGATACAGATACGATAAAGATACAGCTTCGTTTGCAGAGACTGAGACCTCTGGGCCTTGCCCACATGTATGATGATTTGCGAAACTGCTGCTGGCGTCATAAAAGTGCTTGGTTAGTGCTTTAGATGACTAACCCGCCGGTTTCCTCAATGCCTCGCGTCTATATCCCAGCCCTCTGTTTTGGTTTTGGGCCAATTGGCTTAAGTGCTTGCGAGACGGCGGTAGAAATGGAGGAGAAAAAAACCCAAATTGATTTCGATTTCATCTGGCGGTAATACTCTGGCCTAGGGTCACTTAATGCTTGTTATGCTTCTCGAAGAGTCGAAAAGACGTATTAAAAACAGGAATTTTACTAAAAACGTTTTTCATCAAATGTTGCCAAATTTAGCCATAGGAATATTTTTCTGAAATCGTCCAATAAGAAGGCAACGAAAAAAACTAAGAATCATCGTTACTCTGAAATTATAAACAAACCTGCACGGTTTTTTTTTCTCTTTTCCTCGTCCGACAGCTGGGAACTTTTAAATGTTGTGAACTTTACTCATTTGATCTGAGCTTATTGACCCCCCTAAAGTTTGGTTATTCATGGCTAAGCACACAACATTGCCTTAATGTGAAGCAATTGCTACATAATTTTGACCTCAAAACAATACCCGTAAATAGACCATTTACTAAACTCTTAATTTTGTTTCCTAGTATTTAAATGTAAACTAATGGTTGTGAACTAAGAAACTTGTATTTAACAAGTAATTATCGCGAAATCTACGACTCGATAATAGGTTGACTTTTTGATGAACTTTTAAAGGAATCTAGCCTGAAGAAAACTAAGTTATTAAATATCAAAATATGATTATTAGTACGGTTTAGGCAATTTTTAGTCTGGTTAGGGTATTTACCCCTTTGCTTGCTGTCCATTCATTCTACCCTCGACCTTTTTAATGGGTTACTTGTTTTATTGAAGTGCTCCGCGTCTTATTAAGTGAAAAATGTGAAACTCGAGTAATTGTCTTGTATGTGTTTTTACTTTCTGCAAAAAAAAAGCGAACATAACTATTTCTCCGACTACCCAGGAGTTGGCTGCAAGCAATAGTTATGACCAGTATCCCATAAATGTGGCAACAGAACCCGCTACTGTGGCAACAGTCTTTCCAATTGATTTGGCAAGACTTCGGCCGACCCATTTACCAGGTGGTGTGCTTTGCGTAAGTGACCCAATTTGGGGAGAGTGGAGGCAGTGAGCGCTAGGATTGCATTTACTCACCTTTCTGGTGCGAATCAGTTTGGCCAGGTCGACGGCGGGAATCTCGAGCAGGTGGCTCCGGATGGGCGGTAGCTTGCGCCGGATCACCTTGATGTTGGTGTACCGGCTGTAGGGGACGACGAACCAGCTGAAGACGATCATGGCCGAGCGCAGGAACCGGCGCATGATGTACCCCAGGATCCTGGAACAGAGTAGCACAGCAATTTTGACGGTTTTCTCTCAACACACCACTCGATGGGGGAAAATATGATGTGATCTGCGTATCTCCGACTGGATACGCTGGCTACAAGATTCTACAACTCGGCTAACACGCACACACACACACACGCGCGTGCAGCAGCCAACCAACAGCAACAGGTTGCCAGGATTGTGCAATCCGCAATCAGCAATCCGCAGCTGACGACTGCAATCGACTTTTTGGCTTGCACAATTTTTTGGGTACCGAGAGCTGAGAGCTCGACGAGATGCTTTTGGCTTTTTGGCTTGGTCAGTTGGCTAATAGGCGAGTCGAGGCTTTCTGGACTGCATTGGCCGCTAGTAATGGTAGTTGGCAGTGGTATCTGCGGGATGCACTCGCGAGTAAGCCGATTGGGAACAGCCGAGCTGCCGACGCATGCGCAGCCTTTGGCCGGCTTTCATTTTGTTTCACTCAAAACACACTGGCTATCTCAATCTGCATCTGCATCTGCATCTGCATCTGAATCGGTATCGCTTTCGGTTTCTTTCTGTATATATGTATGTACGTGAGTATCTGATGGATCCACGAGCCGAACCGACGCGAGCGAGGCGAGCTGAGTAAATAAACGCTGTCCAAGCTTGCCACCGAGTATTTAAAGCCCGACTCTCCCATCTTCCAATCGCTCAGAAGCTCTATCTGCTCGGAAACTGGTTCTCTTAGGCTGTCTCTTAAGATCCGCTTGGCATAATAGTCAGCGTGATTGTGAACGTGATTCCCGACTGGCCCAAAGGAAATGGCCATAAAGCGGGCAAGTGCGTCATACCATAGATCCACAATTACATGGCCTGAACTCTTGATCCCAAGTGATTAAAGTTGCATTCGAATCTTGGAATGCTATCGCCTTGTTTACAACGACACGAACAAAGGGAGGACTCCTATCGTAATTACACAGATCGGCGAGAGCAAATGAGCTATAGCCCCAGCTTTCGGACCGTACCGGGCAGTTTAGGCCATGCATGCTGACCCCAGTACCAGCTCAACCTGAGATCACCGCACATGTATAGTGCAACGTCATTCTGAAAATAAATATTGATTCCACGAGGCGAGGTTTCCGGGGGAAAAGCCCGCTTTGAGAAAACACTTCCAAGGAACTAGAACCTTGAACCTACGCTTACACCTCGGTAACGACTTAGTAACTAGTCAGGAACAGGTATTTTCTAAAATTAGCTAGAATTTGCACACAAGAGAAAATTATTTCAAGGCCATGGTCTTCTAGAATGGCTGCATGGCTGCTTCGACTTTGGTCGATAAGAAGCCATAATTATGGAAAAGGGCGAGTTATTTTGAGCTGACTCCCCAAGATGAGAGTAGTGATCTTGGAGAGATTATAATATATGGTTATTAGTTTTCATTAGTTTTGTTTTACTTTTAAAAAGTTCCTATTGGTTATTTTAATTGGTTATTTAAACAAAATAAAAGAGAGCTTAAAAATGTACGTAAAATTCATTAATTAGTACATATTTGACAAAATGGAAAACGAATCATTTAGCTTATGATTTCCTACAATTTCGCCAAGTTTATATATTCTGTGATAATGTAGTTATTACATAACATTTTGAAAGATATGTATATCTCATTTAAAAAAAAAAAATACCTTTACAAGAATTCATTTGAATACAATTCGTTCCCTGTGCATGAATCTTAATTAATCGCCTGCGCGTGGATGAACCAGTTCTGCCCATCAATAAAGATCACTAAACTTAGTAGTTGCGGATTACTGATCCGTCTGACACTTATGGTGAGCATTCAGGCGTAAGTTATCCAACCACGACATTCAAATTACATTTTAATTGTGCTGGTCATTAGGGAATAATTGCCGTACATTAGGCTCTTGGCTTGTCAGTTTTTCAAGAAAAACAAAATGCTTGTTTTGATTTCAGCCGCATCGCTTACTATAAGATCACGCTATCTAGGATGTCAGCAAGGTGATATAATCGGAGTACGGAACAAAACAAAGCGACGCAAAGCGTTCGATCTGTACTTAATGATATGGCATCGTGGATGACCAACCTTTTATTATCTTGTGGTCAGCAGAAGCAACTCCCCTCATGAAACCGAAAGGATTCGCGACATTCTCGGCGGAAACTCCCCAAGGTTAACCCCAAAAGAGACTCCTTTTCTTTTATGGGGCTGCCAAGTGTTGTTTATCGCAATCTTAACACAGTTAACAAAAAGCTCCCACTCTTCGGAACATTTTAAGAGCACCTTAAAAGAGATAAGACTACGAGCTTCCGACGACTTTTGGACGGAGGGCCACTTTCAGTGACGATAAAAGTGGCCGCGGATCAAGTCGGACCGCAAAACTTTCCACACACATCATATGTGTACTGCCGACAGATTAGTTGACCCACAAGTAGCAACAAAAAAGAACAATGTGGTCACAGAATTTGCGCCTCGTCCGGGGATTTGTTAATTACGGAGTTTGCCGCCAGAGCTTGAGAAACTTTGCAGCCGTTGGCGATAAAAACAACGCACCCGATAATGCCAGTGATGTGGACGAACGACACCCGCTGCATGGTATCCGGATTTTGGACTTATCACGCATCATCGCCGGTCCCTATTGTACCATGGTTCTGGCGGATCTCGGGGCGGAAGTTATAAAGGTGGAGCGTCCTCACTTCGGCGATGAAGCCCGCAAATGGGGACCACCCTTCCTAGAGAACAGCAACGATGCCGCCTACTTCCTAGCTCCCAATCGCAATAAGCGGAGCATCTGCATCGATATCAAGCGCGGCACACAGCTCCTCCATCGGCTGGCTGAGATCAGCGACGTGCTGGTGGAGAACTATGTGCCCGGCACCTTGGAACGTTACGGCTTGGGCTACGAGCAGTTGCGTAAGGTGAATCCCAAGCTGATCTATTGCTCTATGACAGGTTATGGCTCAGTGGGACCTTATGCCAAGCGACCCGGCTACGATGTGATTGCCTCCTCGGTTGGAGGACTGATGCATATTACCGGGGAGCGGGATGGGCCGCCCAGCAAGGTGGGCGTGGCTGTGACGGACATGTCCACGGGACTGTACGCCCATGGAGCGATTTTGGCAGCACTCTATCAAAGGACCCGCACGCAGCGGGGCCAGAAGATCGAGGTCGACCTGTTGTCCACCTGCTGCTCCCTGCTTCTCAACGTGGGTAGTAACTACCTGAATTCAGGAGTCAAAGCAGGAAGGATGGGCACCGCACACTCCAGCATTGTCCCGTATCAGAGCTTTAAGACGAAGGATGGCTATCTCACCTTGGGCACTGGCAGTGATGCTCAGTTTGAGGACCTGTGTCGTCGCCTAAAAGTGGAGCATTTGGCGCAGAACCCAAAATTTAAGAGCAACAAGGATCGTGTGACTAATCGAGTAGAGCTGCTGGGAATACTGGAGCAAATGTTATCCCAGGACACTTCGCGCAACTGGATGAAGCTCTTCGAGGGCGCCTCGTTTCCCGTGGGACCTGTTAACGCCATTCCCGAGGTTTTCGAAGACGAGCATATCAAGGCCATTGGCCTGGTGAAAAGCCTGCAGCATCCAAAGGACGGCACCGTCAAGGTGGTGGGTCCCCCTGTGACCTTCAGCGAAGCGCGAAACGATGCCCGGACAGCTCCTCCTATTCTTGGCCAGCACACGGATGAAGTGCTGGGTGAACTACTGGGGTGCGGGCCGGATGAGCTCGCCGAGCTTAAGAAGGATAACATTATCCAGTAACCCCAGTTGGAGTTTGAGCAGGCTAAAGTGATTAAAATTCCTAAATCCTTTGATGTCTGTAATGCTTTATAAGTCTTTTACGACCAAATATTTCAGTGATAATCATGCATTTACATTTAACATTTAACCCACTAAAGGCCTTTAAAAATAAATTACCTGTTAATAGAAATGCAACAAATTAATTGAAGAGGCTGGGATAACGATCTGATAGCTAAGTAATAAAACGTGGTTAACACAATTTCACTTGAATTCGATTTGCTGTTCGCAGGAACTTCTACGGTGCAACTTCTAAGACCATGAAAAAGGGGAAAGATTATTTTCCGCATAATCAGTTATAAATATTATGCAAATAATGACTGAAATCATTTCGATTTTACCGAGCTAAGGTACGAAGAATACGAAACTATACAAATACGCCTAGAAAGCTATTTCCTGGCTAGGGTGAAATATTCTTGATTAAACATTAGCACTTAAGGCTTAAATCAAGAACACGTTCGTTAAATATCGCCAATTAGTATTTCTCAAACTCAATATACGATATCAGTATATAGATCCGAATTATGCTAAACTGGAATACCGGAACGAATTTACTTGGTGATTTACGCAAACTGAGCTTAAGAAAAATCTGCGTACTTTTAGTTTTAGGCTAGCAGTTTAAAAACATATCTGTAGTAATATCTGCTTTACTGTATTGTAAACTGTCTTCACAAGGCAATGTTTAGTCTTTAGGGATATAACAAGACTACATGAAACCCAGATTGATAGTATATTGATGTAAGCAGATTTAAGATAAGAAACACGTTGAAATACTTTCGTTTACTTTTGAAAAGGGAATAAAAAAATAGAATAGGCAAATGTCGGCTTAACCAAATCAGACTGAATTGTTTGCCGACTTAATATGGGAACACATTCTCTTCATAGCTTCCATAAAGTGAATCATAATATCATGATATCTAACTGATTAGTACCCATTGACTATAATGTCGATCGAGCTGGACTTATTGACCGGTTCATTATCTAAGCTCTTGATGCAACGATCGCCAATGATTTCGCTGTGTCCATTGACCACCTTCCTTGGGTACAAGAAGGTGATAATCGTGTTCTTCTACGGCCTAATTTGTGTTCTGCGTGTGTTCCGCCAGGCGGAGAAGCGCCGCAGGACGAAATATTGAGACTAGGTTCTCGCACCGGCGATTCGCTTACCTGAGCCACAGCTCCTCCAGGTGCAAACGGATGACGGCTACTATCGATTTCAGCACTGGCAAAAGGGACGTATTTAGGGACAGGTGGCAAAACAATGGGTGGGAAAAACTCACTCGCAAATCAACCAAAAATATAAGTGTATGTGTATGTGTATGAACTATCCAATGGAGCGTCCGCTCGCCAGGAACCCAAAACTAAAACTGAAACTACAACTGAAATTGCAGGTGCTGTCCAAAATGGAATAGTAACAACAACGCGACGTCGACGTCTACATCAGAATTTGTTTGCTTTGGCAGTGGTGTTGCTGTTGTTGTTGCCTCTGCCGCTGCTGTTGTTGTTTGTGCGCGCAAAGTGCATAGACCGCATCCGAGTCTTAGCCTCCAGCTTGGCCCCAAAGCAAGTGCCCCATCCGATCCCGCCCACGCCCCTCCGGCGACGCGGGTGTGTATTTCGCACTTAATGGGTTGAGTGATGAATATGGAAAAAGGTTAGTTGGCGACGCAGTGGGCTATCAATTAACAGTTAGTTAGTTTCCTTCCACCCTGCATGGAAAGTGTGACCATAACGGCAATTGAGACGCGAGTGTATGGTCACACTCAATATTTTATTTTATTAATGCTTTAGGTTTTATTCATACAGTAAATTTAATTATATTTAATTTTTATCTTCAGATTTCAGATGTGCTTTCAACAGCTTATAAACTGTAATTTGCAAGTTTGATCTATTTTTTATTATTTTTTCAGAGCATTTTTCCCGCACATGTTTTTTAAAAAATAATGAACTCAGAAAAATAATATAATTGTCTGCGTCTTTCTGTAACTTAGAAAGTAAATTAGTATACACTTTTTTGTTTTTTCAACCATGTACTTTAAACTTATTGCTAGTTCTGATGGCCTAATTAACTTTCTAGTCGCCTAAGCCTATTTTTAAAAACAAAGAATATTTCTAAAATCATTACCCATCACGAAGTGAAATTCTCCATATGACAATGCCATTGATCTACTCTAACCACCTCCACCGCATTTGTTATTAAAACCATTAACCGCAACCAACTAATGACAGATGCCTATCTGTCCAAACAATCGAAGTCCCAGACAAAGAATTACGAGACGTTTAGTTTCCCATTATTATTCACGAAAACTGGACTTTGAACCAAGTTGGCGCAAATAGAAACTTGATTCAAGCCTACCGTCCGTTTGTGATTACGTTTTAGTTTGGTATTTTTCGTTGATAAGATTAAACAAACATCGAAATGCGGTCACATCGTCATTGTTGATTTTTGATAGCTGTTAAATAATAATAATTTCGTTTTACGCACTTTTTAGAGATGAGCAAGCAGCCCTCGTTTGTGTCGCGCAACCTGGTGGCCATCGTGATGATCCCCAGTCTAGTGGGGATCCATCTGGGCTGGAGCTACATGCAGAGCAATCGGAAACTGGTTACGGAGGCGGAACAAATCGAGATGCCGCCGGTCACGGTATGTTAGTCCTCATCTTTAAGGTGACCACCTCAAGACAGCAGCTCCTCTTTCTCCAGTTTGCCAGGTTTGTGTGGAACAAGCTTACGGGCGCAGGAAGTTCGGCGGAGTGACAAACCTTTTTGTGATGAGCTTAAGACATACAATCTATTTATTGTATAGAATAATTAAAACTACATGCAAACGGTATGGTACAATCAGCTGCTGCCCGGACGACACATGTTGGCCAGGCTGCAGGTTTGGACACAGAAAATGGAGCGATAAAGCCAAGGACTACATTAACTTAGCCTAGGGACGAGGGAGATTACTGCGTGAGGGCAGAGTTGACAGTGAGGTTGTTCAGCTGGGCATTGAACAGAACATCGCTGATCAGTTTCTCGGCCACGATCCGCTGCGTGGGGTTAATGGATCGCAGTTTGCTGGCCACATTTACGCCAATGGCATCGTACTCGTCGTCGTGCCTATGCGAAGTGCTTGGAGCCGCTGCGGTGGTATAAGCAGTGGTGCTGGCATTGCCAAACAAGGGCTGATAGTGATCGCGGCCAATCTGGATAGTAGGCACGCCTTGATGTTGACCATTCGTCTGCTGTAGGTGCAGCTGCTGCTGGTGGTGCTCCAAATGATTGACGGCCTAAGTGAGGAGAGGAGGTGGTTCAAGACCGTATGAAAATATTCACTGCTTTGGAGCTACACACCTGTTGTATCTCTCGCTGGGAGTTGGAGTCTAGGGAGGTGATCTCCAGGACCTTCACGGCATGTCCCTGAGCTGTCGCCGCCGCAATGGAAGTCTGAGCTGCTGCATGGGCTACCAGTTGCTGGTGCGCTTGGGCTGCTGCTGCCGCCGCTTCAGCCGCCTGGTGCTCCTCGCTCTTAACAAGGGTTACGCATTCCGCGGGCGTCACCGAAATGGTGCTCAGAGTGGCGCCCTGACTGCTGACGACCACATTGCTGGCCGCCGCCGCAACATCTTCCACTTCGTCCGGGGACGTGGGTATTATGGATTCCACGTGCTGAGACTGTGTGCCCGTGTGATGTGAGTCGTCCTCAAACTCCATTGACTCCTCGTCGTCGAAGCTGATGTGGAGTTCTCTCTTGGGCTTGGAGCCGAGTTCGTGGCGCTTGGGTTTGTGATCAGCGATGAAAAGCAGCTTGTCGTAGTACCACAAACGCGTTTCGTAGTCGTTTTTTGTGTACGTCTTGCGGAATTCCCGCCGGAAAGCAGAGCGTAGCGAGTTGATTTTCCTGCAAAGGGTGAAATGTGTTTACTGAACTGTGAAATATCTGGATCGGAAAGTCCCACCTTACTACCATCGCCCTGTCCGGGTTGGGCTCCACTTCTTTTAGCTTCTCCACCAGGCGGTCGTAGGACTTGTTCCGGGCTGCGTGATTGCTGTAGTCGTTGTGCTTGGGCTGCCATAAGCACTCCTCCTCCTGGTACTGTTCGATGAACTCCGTGAGCCAGTGGCGCGAGTACGATCGCAGGTCTACGTTCATGGTCCTCTTCACGAGTTTTTTATTTCGGTTTTCTTTATCACTTTCTTTGCAGTACTTTTTGTTTTCGATGCGTCTCGCGTGAAGTTGGCTGCGCAACAAAGGTAGGGTGCTGCCAGACCGCAGACTATCGCCTTGGAGATGGATATCGGTTTCTCAAATTTTAAATGTCTTAGGGCAAATATAAATTAAGCCAAACCAAATTGTCTACTAAAAGTAAAGTTCAATAAAAAAAACCAGAACCAGATTTGACTCATGAATGAAATTAACGTTAAATATATCGAAATTATTTGCAATTTACTGACACTGAATGTCTTGGCTATTTAATTCATTACCCATTAAAAACAATAAAGTTTGACAATATTGCATTGTCTTTTAAATGATACGGATTATTATTTTGCGGGTCAAGAAACTTGAAATATTACGAATGGTAATGTTCGACTAATACATTTGAGTTTTTTTTATTTTGCATTTTCACATTGTATCGGCTCAGATGCCTAATTTCCCAGTTTAAACCAAAATTAATATTCCTATTGTTACTTATCTTACGCTGGGAATACTTGTTCCTTGTGGGGTTCCGCAATATTTTAGTTATTTTAATATTTTTTGGTATTAATATATTTTTTTTATGCATTTTGGCAATTTGTATCTATTACAATTGTGTACTCTCTTTTATTCATGTTAAACATGTATAATTAATAAATGCTCAATTATGTTAACCATTTTACTATTTAAATGTATTTCTTTATACAAATAAAGTTATAGTTTTCGTAAACCAAACATTATCCAAAATAAAAAAAAATTCCAATTGACAATTGTTGAGATTATGTACTTTTTGATCAACTCAACTTTTTGGAAGGATGAGTTTTAATACAATCCACATTCCATAGTGTAGTTACAGTGTATAGATTTAATTCCTTAATTTAAGGTATATTTAGTATTTAAATATAGCAGTCCTCTCTCTAAATTTGCACTACTGTGCGACAGTTAAAATGGTTGCGGACTTGGCTTTACTCCAGCATGGACTCCACCCATGCGCTCTCAGTGTGGCAACGCCGAGGCGCAGTTCTCGATGTTTTTGTCAATTGCTCTTTGGAGCTTCGCAGGCGGAGTCGAGAATCGCGCGGAAATGTTCATTAACAAATAGAAATTTCCGAAATTGAGGCAAAGATTTAGCTCGCGGTAAAGGGAACACAGCACCTGTGCTTTTCGAATCGAATATCAGTACGGACGCCACACACGGCTAAGTGTTTGTTGTTGTTATTGTTGCCAAGGCCGAAGGAGTGAAAAGAGAGGCCGAAAAAAGAATCTGTGCTAACAAAAACAAAGGTGCGTGTAGAGCCGAAACACACATGAAATCATACATTTGTACATATATGTATGTGTGTGTACAAAATAATTTGTTGTTCTCGTTTTGCCCCATTATATAAGGTATCCGTGTGTGTGTGGTTTTTTTTGGATGTTGCAAGCGTTTAATCGGTGTAAACAAGAGCGAATAAATGGATTCCCAAACAGTTGGTGCACACGGGTCTTTATCACAAAGTACTTAAATTTAAGAGAAACAAACGCGTAACAACACAAGAACACTTGGCAAGCAACAGCTGTTTTTCATTCCCTTAGTCCAATCAGAATCTGAATTAAGTCACGTATGATTCTTATAAGATTATTCCAGGATTTGTAAACAGCAAACAAAAGTATTACGAATCGAATTATTGTTCGACCAATTAAATTGGCCAGAAAATCGCGCATGTGAAAGTGCAATTTCCGAGCAATTTGCATAAATTTTCATTGCCCAGTTGTTTTTGTTATTTTCTTCCAAGGGGGTACAAAGTCCAGTTGGAATGATGTTGTAGCTGCGTTACTATCTACATCCCCATCACCCCCCATCCCGCACCCGCTGGATATTTATAGCAAACAAATTTCATAGCCAGAAGCAATGTGGAAAACACTTGCTGGATAAACTGGATCCATAGTAAACCTCAAACTTGACTGAGTGCAAAAGTAGAGAAAAAAGTGCACAAACACCGCCTAACGAGCTTGTTTACGTTTATCAAGCGCCGGCAACAACAGCATCCAAGTGCACAGTGGTTGCAAAGTGCTTTCCATCGCTCCAATTCGTTATCAAAAAGTGGTTTATGGGGGGGCAGATATCAAGTGGCTTTGCGAAAATCACACTTAAGCCGCAAGCATAGGAGTGGAATATTTGTGAAACTACTTTTAGCCCAACTTTTCAAGATAAAAGAGCTGAAAGGTACAGTGAATACTTCTACCAACAAACTTCCTTTGGAACGTATAAGCTAAAAAATCCAAAAATTTTAGTTTATTATAGCAAAGACACTAGAATAATTGTAGTGTCTTTGATTATAGTTTATGATCTTCTTTCAAGTGAACGTCAAGCTAATATAATGGACATATATAATATATATATATATATATTCAATATAACTGAAAAATAGTAAAATACATATGTTTGATGCCATGCCTAGCCAGTACCCACTGTACACCTCAGAATCTCTATTTAGCCGCAATCACTTTCAAGGTTGCACTTTTCCACTCATTTTCTATCGCGTTGATGAACGCTCTTGGGTTTCCTCTCAAAGGTTTCCCGCACCGGCTGCTGCATGAAAAGCTTTTAATTTTAGCCGCGCTCAGCTGTTGAACTTGGAAAAGTGCCCAACCCCCAAAAGTCGGTAATCAAAACACACGTGTTGTGATATTCCATTCCACACATTTGCCATTTCAATATTCGGCATGATAATTGTTTTGGAGGTGTGTGCCACACATCTTTAGCTATACTACATATGTATATGCTCGGGCACTTACATACATACATATGTACGAGTATGTCAACTGATAATTCGGTGCCTTTTGCCTTCCGTAATGAGCATACGAAAGCAACCGGTTTGCGGGCTCGTTTGGCCTTTGGAGTCGGAAAGAGGCGAGAGCGGGTACATCGATGTCTTCTGGAACACTCTGCTTCTATCTATTGTAAGACGCAATTAGGAGCTAGTCAGAGCCTTATCAATAATTCCGGCTGAGGCCCGGGAGAGCTTGATAGCTCGCACTCCAGAGGCAGAATGGCTCTACTTGGGGCCCAAGCAAAGTTCAATTACCAGTAGCCAGTGGAACTGGAACTTGGCCAGATAGCAGAATATTGGTCAGCATTATGGGTTAGGTGGCTGCTAAAAGCAATTCGAGCGCCTATTTTTGAACCTATGCCAGGGGGAAATGCTTCCATCAATTACGAAACAATTGTGAGAGCCGCATATTATTTGCATGAACCTGCGAAATGTGTTTTCGCTATCAACTGGCGCACATATTATTTTCCTGAGCTCCATAAATACACCTGCCTGTGAAAAAGTAGCACCCAAAGCATTTACTCTTCGCAATCAATATAAGAACAGTACTCGTGTTGCTCTGTTTTCCATTATGGGCCACACAAATCAATTATCAACGAAATCCAAAGCTGTGTTTTTCTAGTAGGCTGATAACGAATCCAAACCCTCGCCAGAAACTTGCACTCAAACTATTGGCTAGAATGCTCAGAAGTCTTCCAGCTTCGAATAAAATAACTTACCAATAATTTAAGGCTACGCTCAGAAGCTTACTTAACTTTTCGTCTAGAGACGAAGATGCATTCTTTTACCTGACCGATTTCTTTTGACCGATTCAAGTACACCCTTCCCTTCCGTAATAATATACATATTAATTAGTTGTGCCGTGCTATTGCATTGTCCTCAGCTGTACGGCAGCGAACACTCAGTTTGTTGTCTCTGCTGGGAAGTCTTATAAAAGCGAAGCAATTTTCGGGTGGTTTAGATTAGTTTTGGCCATATTGAGTGCTTATCAGTGGTTGTGATAAGCCGACGCTTTTGGTGGGGTAATATACACGGCTCGGATTGATATGCAAATTGATTTCAGGTCCCCAGCCCGAGTCTGCCATGAGCCGTCTCCTGGAGAAGCCCAACATCGCCATGTCCATCAAGTCCACCGGTAGTCAGCTCTCGAGCACGATGGCCACGGCCTCGGCGACGTTGTCCTCGGACCTGGAGGATGCGGACACACCCCGCACCCAGCTGAGCCCATCCGAAACATCTGGAGTAGTCCCCGTACCCGCCACAACACTCAATCCCAACGCCTCAGTCACACCCAGTAAGTAAAAAGATGGGGTTTCCAGCCGCGTATTTTGGGAAAATGAGAGAAAAGCATATTTTTCAATGAATCACGTAGGATTTCAATCATTTTAATGCCTAAAGGCATTAAATAAAGAACGTAATTAACATTTATAGCAGATCCAATGCACTACCCCTCATCATGGCTTAAAATTGTAATAATTTCTAATGTAAAATGGATTCAAATCTTGAATACTGATACAAACTGTATAGTAGGCACTTCATATCACTTACATGGCAAACATATCTCTATAAAAGCATGATTTGGTTCTCTTTACCTTTCAGTGCGCCAGAAAATCGACCAGGTGGTAATCAGTCTGATATCAGGAGCAGCGGCGGGGGCGCTGGCCAAGACGGTCATCGCCCCGCTGGACCGCACCAAGATAAACTTCCAGATCCGCAACGATGTTCCCTTCTCGTTCCGAGCCTCGCTGCGTTACCTGCAAAACACCTATGCCAACGAAGGCGTTTTGGCCCTGTGGCGGGGGAACTCGGCCACGATGGCCAGGATCGTGCCCTACGCAGCCATACAGTTCACGGCCCACGAGCAGTGGCGTCGCATCCTGCATGTGGACAAGGACGGCTCCAAGTAGGTACCACTCTGCAGTACACTCCAACAAATTTAACTAGCAATCATTTTATTTTGCAGCACGAAGGGTCGTCGGTTTTTAGCTGGCTCCCTGGCAGGAATCACCTCGCAATCGTTGACGTATCCTTTGGACCTGGCCCGCGCCCGCATGGCCGTCACGGATCGGTATACTGGCTACCGGACCCTGCGACAGGTCTTCACCAAGATCTGGGTGGAGGAGGGTCCGCGGACGCTGTTCCGCGGCTACTGGGCGACTGTTCTCGGTGTGATTCCCTATGCGGGCACCTCGTTCTTCACCTACGAGACTCTCAAGCGGGAATACTATGGTAGGGATATACAATACATCCTGATATGCAAGACTATATAGTTTTGGGAGATGTTCGTT